AACTTATTGTCTATATAAAGATCATTTAGAGAAGTTATTCCCTTTAAACTCCAAAGTATTGAAAACAGAGTCCATTAGTGAAGGAGCAAACATATGGTTATTGAAATTTCTTTCTTTTTTTAATCAAAATGTCATTTTAAAACAAGGTGAAGTTAGAAACTAAGAGATAATAGAGATGTGTTAAAATTAAAGAAGTCTTTAGACATTTTTTTACTGCTTTGTTAAAGGTTGTATTTAAGTCCCTGTACAGCAATATCTGCAACAAATGCAACAATAAATGTGTCATGGATAAAATACTGTATGTGTTTTTTCCCTATATTTATAATAATTTACAATTATTTTTAGTTTTTCTTCTAAAGGTAATCTATATTGATATTAGGGTTGGCCAGGGACATTTCTGGTTTGAGTTTGCATGTTCTCTCTGTGCGTGTGTGGGTTTTCTCCAGAAACTCTGGTTTCCTCCCACAGATTAAACATGCATGTTAGGCTAACTGGTAACTCTAAGCTGTCTGTAGGTGTGAGTGGGAGAGTAAATGGTTGTTTGTCTCGTTTGTCTCTATGTGTCCCTGTGATGGACTTCTGCACAGTGACTGCTGGATACGGACACCAGTGACCCTCGTGACCCTGAAAGGAAGGAGCTGGTAAAATATAATGGATGGGTGAAAAGACTGCAGTAAATCCCAGTCATGACATAACAATTGACCCCACGGCCCCAAATACACACATCTGGTGTAAATAATAGAGGAATCTTGCAGTAATGGGAGAATAAAAGAAAAGGCTGAATGTGGGTTTATCACAATGAACTTCAATATTTCTCTAATATGGTGCAGTTCAGTTATTGCAACAAAATGCAACAAGTGAAGGTCTGTCTCTAAGTTTTCTGTTTAGTCCACCTGAATAAACAGTAGTAAGAGTTAAGTCCTGGGAATAATGAAGATTTTGCCAAGATCGGAATGTTATGTGTTTACATAAGGGCTATGTGCTGGAGACTGTTTCAACAAGCAAAAGAACATGTCATCCTTTTAAATTCAGGTKGTTTTATGAAAAAAATATCAACCTGTGGCGCTGAGGAATGAGTATTTCCCAGGAGCAGCAAACTGGCACACATGGGGCTTAATGCAAAAATCACGATGCTCCTTATCACCGCCGCTGTCATGCTTATGTTAGTAAAAGCACTTTTAAAGGTAGAAATCCAAAGATGCATTAAAATATTTATTCAAATAAAATGTACTAATGGAAGAATCAACCACAAGCAATATGGAAATGTATGTGGGGAAGTGGGGAGGGCAAAAATCCATGAAAAAAAATCAGAAATTCTACCATGCTGTTGTAAAATTTGAAACCTGTGACAATATAAGAGTTGAGGATTCATCAACAGATGTTGTTCAGTTTTTTTTTTTTTTTACAAGTAGTTTTACTGATTATGTGACATCCAGAGATCAGAAACAAGAACAGAAACTATTTGGAAATCCACACAGTCCCTTTTTAATGTGTTCTGTATCTTTACACATGGAATACCATAAACTGTCCATTTAAGGGGCCTCAGATGCATTTATGTGGGGAGGGACACATTGGCGGGGGGTCTGGAGATGCCATTTCCTGCATTCTGGTGTATTTTAATATTTGTACCTTTACCTACATATGTAAACACTTGGTATGAGCATTCTCCAATCAATCAAGTGGAATAGATTAGTTCCCCATGCAATAAAAACAGCTACATTACTTTCAAAAATGTTTTTTTTCTCCTGTTTAAGTGTCTTATGGCAAACACAGCCACAAAAGCAAGATTTATGACTGCTGCTCCTCATGACTCTGCACCTAACACCCCCAAACTCTTTAGAGTCTCAAACAGTGAAGTACTGAAAGTCAACTTTAAATAAAAGCTAACTTACACTTATAAATAAAAGTAAAGTTYAAAAAATTATAAATAAAAGTCAACTAACACTTAAAAGATGAGTCAAGTAGARTTGAATGTTTTGTTTAAAACAAATCATGTAAACAAAACAGGCATGTGTTTGAGATTTACAGTGTGTACCAGTGAGGCATCCCTCTGGTCTGTGAGAGGAAACAGGATGAAGAATACCCACTCATGCATGGAGAGAAGATGTAAACACCACCCAGAAGGCTTCTAGGCTAAGATTTGATCCAGCAACCTTTTTGCTAAGAGGCTGAAGGAAAATTTGRAACTGATTAACTGAATGTTAGATGCAGTATTGTATTTTATACTTTCTGATCATTGCAGTCATAATGTTTAAAACAGAGAACGTGTTGGTGTGTGTGTTTTCCTGTGTTCTGTCTGTAGCCTAAACAAAAACGTGTTACATTCTGAAGTCTAACGTAAAAGTTACCACATTCAGGGGTGTAACCAGGAAGAGCCTGAAGAGTTGAATTTTCAATCAAATCATCATCAATCAAACAAATTTATTTCAAACATGATGACCATACAATACAAAGAGATAACCATACTTAAACATATTACATACTGTATATTAAATACAAAATACACATATTTTATGACAGTAATAATTTCAACATGTTCAAAATGGAGTAGGAAGAAGTAAAAAACATAAACTCATACCCTGTACTATTTTCAAATGATATATAATAATAAACCTAAGGCTGATATAGTAAACTGTTAAATTACAGTGTAAATTTACATATATTTACCTTTGTACAGCCCTTTGTGTTACAATCACTCCTCATATCTACACATTAAAGGATACATAAGCACATGAATCTAATGCACCTGAACAAACATCAAGATTTAAGTAAATCAATTTCCATTTAACAGTTGCCTTTTTTTGGCATAAACGCACTACACACGTATATTTATGGTGACTACATATATATTCATCCAGCTATACACATACATTTAAATGCGCTTATTAGTTAACATACTGTACACCCATTTATACACCCACTCACCCATTCATATTTCTATTTCCTGAAAAAGATAACCTCCCTATATTTTCTTTTAAATTGTATTAAACTTTGACTTTTTTTAAAATCCTCTTTTAGTTTGTTCCATAGTTTGACACCATGAATTGAAATACAAAAGCTCTTTCTTGTTGTACGTATCCTACGACTCCTTAAATTTAAATAACCCCTTAAATTATATACCCCTTCATTATCAAGAAACAATTTCTGRATGGGCTCAGGTAATAATTTATTTGAAGCCTTTAACATAATTTGAGCAGTTTTAAACCCCACCAGGTCTTCAAATTTAAGAATTTTAGATCGTAAAAATAATAAGTTTGTGTTTTCATTTAGTCCTACATTATGGATAATTCTGATGGCTCTTTTCTGTAGGATACACAGTGGTTGCAGAGAGCTTTTGTAATTAATTCCCCATACTTCTGAAGAATACATTAAATAAGGCAAGATAAGTGAATTATAAATAATATAAGGTGATTTATTG